AGACATCCTTTGGAGCAGAGCAGCGGCAGTAATGATGATGTAGAGAAGATGAGGGAACGGGGCAATTGCGCTCTGGTTGCCAAAGCTCACATCTGCGTTGCGTGAGTGAAAAGTGGGCTTTGTCTTAAGGGCTAGTGGCCACCAACTGACATAACACACGTGCTCATCAGGAGCTGCACGGCCACATTGTCAGTTCGGTCTTAATGAGTCCACTTAATATTGCTGAATACTGCGGAGATTTTGGTACATTTGAGATTTAATGAGTTCTGCGTTACCAATAGTTTAATTAAAAACTTCTCCTATGTGAGGCTTGTTCTCCTTTTTTATGCAAGTAAATAATTCTTGGACTAATGAATTCCCTAGCACGTTGCAGGCTGGTCACTTTGACTGACTCCGAATCGCCACACGCACACTTACTTCTTGTTCCTATCGCAAAAGTTTCTCGCATATGCTCACTTGTTTCATACCTGACAAGAAAGGACCTTTATAATAATTTCATCGTTGTGAGCCTATTCACTGAATTAAGGTCGAGAGTCTATTTAAATCGGGCAAATTACCTAATGAATGGCGAACTGGCATACGATATCGGCTAAGTTTGCCAATGTAATGCAAGATGAATTCAAATTGATGCTTTGGAGCTCACGTAAAGGTAGTTGGGTGGGAAAGAAACCTTTGTGAGCTTAAAGTCTGCTTGCATATAGAGTGGTGAAGTTCCCAATCGTGCGGTAGGAGACAACTGACTAAGTATGTGCACAAAAGATTCTCATTTTCCTCACCTCAATAACCATACAAGCTGATAAATACAATAATTTTATTGCCCAGACACTACCCACTTTCTGCATCCCATAGTTTTACATCGGCTTAGGAGTAAAGAAACATCAGATGTACAATAAAATTTTCGCGAGTTTAATAGCTTCAGCGGTTGCACAAGGATTAAAGAACGCCGTCCATAAGTGTATAGGCACTGCGTAGAGATGAGAAAACGTAATCAACCGTCTCACCCTGTTTTCTTATGCGCTGGAGCTTACAACTCCCAATTATTTTCCTTATGTCGTTTTTTGAAATCAATTTGCTCTCTCTGGGTTATTTTTACAGTAAATCGTCTCTATAACAAGTTTTTGTCCTCGTCCATTAGCTGACTGAGATTACCCCGGGGAGGGAGAAACCAATTAATGTTTCCCATTGTTTTTTATGCTTTTGAACAATTCCCTTCTGCCTGGTTGTGATACTATTTATTAATTACGATTTCAGTCCTACAACTAGGATTACAATAAGTGCAACAGTAAAGTTCAATTAAAAGCAATAGCCCAAATATCCCTTATGCCTCTCAAAAGTTGGGACACATACTATTCTAATGCGCTTGTAAAGTTAGAGGTGCCAGTCAATGGAAGCGTGAGCTGTTTCTATGATATTTAGTACATAGCAAACTTCAAGTCAAGTCAGTTGTTGTTTATACTTGGGCAGCTGTCTACTTCTGCTCTAAAACCGTGGCTACCCTTCCATGCTGATGTGCGTGAGTTATTTCACACCTTTTGCACTGCGAAACTTTGCCTTAAAAGAACAGCTTTATTGTGGCCTGATTACCTTGCCATTCAGGTCATCAACGCCACTCAAACGTAGCATGTAAAGTGGACACGCTCACATAAAACCCTCCTCCCTCGCAAACTTGAATTTGCTGAGATAAAAAGTTATAGTTCCTTTATCGCACCACACGGCACAAAAGCGCTCAAAAAGAAAGCTCATTAGGCAGGGGAATGGGACATTGCATCCGTCAATGCTTCACGCGGCCCAGTGATGTAATCCTCGCACTCTCACGGCTTCAAATACCACCACAGCTGGCGGTGATTACTGTGACTTTGAGTGCTACAGATTAGTACTGAACAGCAGTGCTGCCGGAAATGGTTGTGAAATGTACCTCTTCGGTCAAACAATACCAGTGCCATTCAGTACCGTTTGCGATTTCGAAGTGCATGTTATCGTATCGGGTCTGTAACCACATTTGTGTACAGATAATGACCGAAAATAGTGCTTTCTGATTGACAATCAGAAGAGCAGAATACAATTGTTTACACTTGTGTATTGCTGCACATGACTGACTTTGTCCTTCAGCTGGCCAGTTTCGTATCTACTTAGAACTCCTCTAGACAAGTAAAATTTTTTCCAACATTGTTTGCATCTCAATCACGTCTTTATGAAAAAATCAGCGTTAGCGCGA